TATTTTCATATATATATAGATTGATTTAATCAAACAAAGGATAACTTAAAATAATATACGGTAAAAATAAAATTGGAAAATTTGATGTAAAATATAAAATATAAGTAGACTTAACTGTATTTAAATTAACAAAATAAAGGAACTAAAAACAAAAATTTAAGTTTGAAAGTTTAAAACTTAAAATGTTGATCCACATTGGCATTTGATATCAATCGTCTTTATGGCTCATTTACTAAATAACTATTGGTGGCATGTGAGATATAGAAATATACTACTTTAATAAACTTAGTTATGAATTTATGTTAGTCTAAAAAAAAAAAAAAAAATTCCTCTCATAAAATGAAAACTACTTTAGTAGTATAATATAACTATAGGTACTGAAATACAAACTTTTTATTTTGCTTAATAATATTATTGATGACGAGTAAATTTTAAAGGTCGACATTTTGCGATTTGCTGTCAGTACGCATCGAAACTGCCAATCACACATTTAATAAATAATAAATGTGAATAATGTATAAATTAATTTAATATAGTCAATCGAATAAAAATACACCAAAACTAATATGAATAATAAAAATTAAATTGAATTTATTCCTAAATTATTATATTTAATTTAAATTTGTAACGCATAGTCATCACTCATCATAATATACAAGCTATACAATAGTCAATATTATTATGTACTCCTCTAAGGATGCATGTAAAATCAGTAAATATTTTCAAATTATAATTCGTCAATAAATTATAAATTATAGTGACGATCAATTTTATAGCTATAGAAAAACTTAAGCTTAAGAAGACGAAACTAATCAGATTAATGATATAAATGTTATCAATAATTTGAACAATATAATTAAATTTAATAAATTCAGAGGATACTTTTTTTTTAACTTTATCAAATTTCTAACTATCAAGCAATTATTATAATCAATGACTAAAAAATTAGTAAAAAATCATTACACTTTTAATTTAATTCTAGATGGATATTAAGTAAAATACATTTTTTTTTTTCAAATGTTATATATTAATAAAAGCGGAGCTCTTTTTAACTTAAATATAATATACAGTTTATATTTATATTTACAATAAATGTACAATGGCAACTATAGTCTAAAAATAGAGAAAAAAGTGTTATATGTTTAAGAGTTTCTTTGTTAAAATTAATTTTAAATCTAACTAATATTATATTTTAACTTAACTTAACCTTTTATGCATTAAAATTGAACTATGAGTACAATAGTAAAATGCTCATAATTAATTGTATAACATTATAAAATTTATTAAAAATGTTATGAATGGTATTGTTAATAATGCACTGTTAAAAGTTCTATAATTTATGTATTTTTATCTGTAATGTGAATCTACCCTTTACCAAATATGGAGTTCTAATAAAACTTTACCCTATATTATACTTCATATGTTTTTTTGTTGTCCCCATGAGATAATAGTCCCAATTCCAAAGATACCGTGCATAATATCAGTGGATTACATATAATAATAACATTTTAGCCTTTGAACTCTTTTAAACAAATTATTAATGTAAAATAATTAATAACACAATTGTTTAGTAGATTAAAACAAAATATTCTTCAAACTACATCTCACATAAAATGAAATTAAAAAATAAACTATTCGGTTCACGCATCGTTTTAATAATTACCTTATATTTACCAAATGTAATTGAAATTCAATATGAAATTTCTTTAAAAAAATGTTGATGTTAAATACAAAATTCATTATTTGATGTTTGAAATATTATCGTCTGACGTTGTATGTAATTTTTGTACTTCATACGAAAACATCGTAGTACTTAAAAGATCTAATGGGTTTCTTAATAATATTATTTACTTTTCACGTTTATACATTATTTTATCGTAATTTCCTAAACTAAGTTGAGATAATGCTTTAGATAGACCCCTTAATTATATTTGTATTTCGTTTGAAACTATTCATTGGTACCAGTATAAAAAGTTAAAGATAGGATGAGCGAAATAAAAAGAGATTAAAATAAACAAAATGAATACCACATTAAAGAATACAATTTAGCACTTAAAACTTTAATAAATTGAAAACCATGCATATATATGTATATAAATTATATCATTGAACAATAGATAGACTTTTTTGTATATCATCAATTTTGAAACTATTTGAGCACTTATATACAAAGTTTACTTTGTTTATTTCCACGTGGTAAATCGTGAATGTCATATACAGTGTATGTTTACCTTGACGGGCGGCCTATTCAGCATTTGACATGACAAAAAAGGCTATGTTAATCGAATCGTTCCCCTAAAAGGGACTAACGTAAAAAAGGGTATAATAAATACTGGACCTTATATAAGCCCAATAATTCTGAAAATCAATCAAATTCACTCAAAGGACTACACATATTTATCTTTCATCTCGTATGATATAAAAAATCGAAACTTTTAATATGTTAAGTTTAAAAAAATGTTTCTAATGATATTAATTCTAGTAACAAATAGAACATAGTCCAATATGTTTATAAAATGTATGAAAAATATTAAAACATTATTCATTGATAAATGTATGAAACCTAAAAAAATTTGAAATCAATAAATAAATTGTTTATTCAATAGATTTTACTTTGAATTAAAAACATCAAATTCAATTAAAATCATCAAACAAATTTGGTTAAAAAAAATTGGCATAATTAATAAAATCCTACAAAAATGTTTCAACTTCTTGATAATATGACTTTTTATAACTTTTTCTATTTGTTTACATTGATTAAACATACGATAAAATTCAATCTAGGCTATTTAGTGCTCGATGATGGCATTTATGAGAACGGTTTCGAGGTGTTACCTATAGTTTCGATGAGCACGAATAGACGATTTTATTTCCGTTAATTTTAAACATTAAAGATCCTCGAAGACTTCAGTCATTTCATTTATGTTCATGTTTTCAAGAGCTTGTTTTTCTACGGTCCGCAAAAAAAACAACTGGGGTGATAATCTTTGCTAAATCGCATTGCACAAAGAAGAAAAAAAACTGTTATTTTTCTCTACAATATACGCCACCAAATCCAGTTTTTCGTACACATTGGACTTTCATTTTCTACCCCCTAACAATCCATCCCTTCGTTATCATCCTCAGCAGCTTTGTTTTTCATTACGGACCAGCCGACCGACTTTAAGCGGATTTATTACCCGAAGCCAAAAATGGTGAGACACTGTTAGAATGGATGGAGAAGGGGAAAAAAGGAAACGAGAAGTTTCGGATATCCGACTACGAGCACCCGTAATCTTATTAGCAGCTATATTTCGTAATCCAAAGAGAATGAAACGGCTATATGTATATAATGTATATAAATATATATATATATGTATCTATTATTTGAATCGTTTACTCATACAATACAAACAAGAAAAGTTAATCATTCTAAAACGATCATTGATAATCTTCAATTTTAACTATAACGGTTTCAAATAATAACTTAATCGTAATTTTATATGAAATAACATATACGTATATATATTATTATAAAATTAGCGATAATATTGTTATAAAATCAGTTATTTGGTTTATCAAGGACACATAAATAAAATTATAGTTCTTTTGTGACTACAGTTAATTTAATTGACTCATTTTTTACGTTTCAGTTGAACTAACAATAAATAACTTTCTTTAACCACCATTTTAATTGTATTTATTAATAATTTATTTACAACTATAAAAATTCAAAAATCAAATATATTGCAGTATTTAAATTTAATGATTAATATTTTTATTGTAAGTATATTATATTTAAATGTTCAATAAAAATTAGCTCCCTATTAAAAATAACTCTGATTAAACTAAAAATGTAACCTTATAACACTCACAAAGTAGAAATAAAATAAACTTTCTGTATTTACTGTGTATGAATATTACTAATATTAGTAGCGAAAAATGTTCATATTATAATTATAACTTGGCCATTTAATTGCGTTATTATCATCTGTTGTATAGGTTGTATAGGGTTCATTAATATATAATTATTTATTTTATAAATGCCGTAGCTACAACGTTAACACTTATAAAACATATTAGAATGGTTAAAAATGATTGAATGCTAAATACCGATAATATTTAGGTAAATAATAACACGCAGTGTACGTATATTTAATTTACAAAAATATTGTACGATAATTCAAATAAAAGACAAACAATGATGTAAACGTATGATAATAATGGAAACAAACAATAAAGATTTACTGAGCACGTCATTTCCAGAGCGAATAACAATTTTATATTCATTGAAAAAAAAATCGAACAAGACTTGTATAGGTATATAAGAAATAATTTTCAAGAAAAATGATTTGAAAAGGGAATTATTCTCTCCAATTGTAAATTATATAGACCATTGAAAAAATGAGAGTAACAAAAATGTCAATTTTATTTATTTGAACAGTGCGTGAAATTAAAAAAAAAAAAACAATACTAATGAGTCATAAATATAACAATGAGTTTCTAGAATTGTACTGTTATTTAAATTAAAACAATTGATTGATATTATCTTTGAAATATTTATTTTATTTGCTGATTGTCACGAAAATAAACGTTTCAATATTTGTTTTATTCATTTTGAGATTGGAGGTTTTCTTTTATTAAAGGAAATAACCGCTAACTGATATTATTCTAAATGTTAATAACAAAAACTTACTAAATGAATCTTATGGACCGAATTAGGCTTTTTACTTAGTATGAAAGCAGTTAAAAGTTTTCAAACTAGCAGCTGTATATGGCTCGACTTTGCGATATTCCTCAAGTACAATAGTTTTCGAGAGGATAGGTAATAATAAAGCAGCAGTTTAATTTTAAAAACTTTTTTTTGTTCAAACTTATTTTTATTCGGTTTCATACAAGAAGTTTTCAGAAAAAAATTTACACAATCAAATTACTTACTATACATCTTATATTCAATAACTGTAATCTATAAATAGCAAATAATAAGTTTATACCAAAAATTAAAATTTCATATGACTTACCTAGCATTCTGTGGTCCTACTGATTTGACTTCATATGAAGAGCTAGCTGTTATCCTATGATCTGGAATTTTGCTGAACTCCATACCGAGCTGTGAACGACATTCTTCTAAATAAAAATAATAAAGAATTAATGAATAACATTAAAAAAATATCTTTCGTACGTAAGATTCAAACGCTTATTTAATCAATATTGATAATTGTATTATCAAACTTACTAACGGTTTTTAATTTTATATTTAATTATATCAGACATCGGTATTATGTATTCAATTACCTACTGCAACAATACCTCTTTTGTTCTTTTTAGACAAGTTTCTATAGATATTTATACCTAATCTTGTTCAGTTAAGGAGTAGTAAGTTAGCTATTTCCGCTATACAAACTGGTCTTGGGAACCGGGTTGTTGGATCGATACAAATAAAGTTTTCTTAGTTTTATTTTACAAGTCTTAAAAACTTAAGATTTGCGTTCATAAACTAATACAATCGAATATAACATAGCAACTTATACAACGTTTATTAAATTATTAAAATAGTAATAATATTATGCAGTAAGTATTACTCGATTAACTCTATTCTTAAGGGTAGTATATTTTACATCATAGGAGTAGCGGAGTACGAGTTGAAATAATTGAATTATTCTGATTTACTTTAAGGTAGGTTATTGTACCTATAGTAAATCAAATTATTAATAGTATTTAAATATGTGGAAAAACGGCTGTTATCGAATAGTCTATACTTCGTGATTAAAAACTTGACTGTTGGCTATTTCAATGATATATTTCCTCAAACTCAACGTTTCTGTAATCTGTAAACCTAAGCCGATTCGTCTAATATGACATAAATGACGAGTCAGTTATCTATAAATCGTCACACTACATAAAATATTGATTATGATTTATACTTAGAATATCTAAAATTTATCTTAAATAGGTAGCTGTTGCTTTTATTTTTATAATATGTTTACCAGAAATCGCTTTGAATTACAAATAATTATATTAGTATGAATATATAAATAATAAATTCAAAAAAAAAAAACCAACAACATATACTTGAGTTAATTTTAAAATGGTTAAAGACGTTAGTATATTTTTGGAGACATATTTATTATATTTTTTTTGCTTACAAAGCTCAGAAATGTTTTATATACAAACACTATTACCACTTCAAAAGAACTGAAAATGGTATTTTCGTTCTCATTTTTTTTGTATACCTACATATAAGCTTTTTTATAGCTCTATGATTAAATTAAAGGTCCTAATATTCAAAATTATAAACTTTAAAATGTGTTCATAAAATAGTATGTTTATTATTAGGTATCGTATAAACAGTTATAAAAACGATTATTTTTACTTATAAAAAGTATGAAACGTAATATGAAATGTAATATTATTTTTTTTTTTAAATATGAGTGACTATTTAAATTTAGTGTAAGAGGCTAAATGAACATTAATAATTTATAAAATTAAAAAAAAAAACAATATAATCGGTGTCAAAGATTAAATGATATATTTTTACCATTATTCCTTTTGATTTATTGTTTATAAAAATATGATGGTAAGTGACTTTTGAGACAAATGTAATACTTCCCTCGGGTAACACATACAAAAAATGTTAGGCAAACCTTACGTGTGTTTCAACTTGCTCCGTTCAAGTCCAATTTCTGGGAAACGTTTCGAAAAGAACCATTAAGACTGTTGACCTTTTAATCGTACCCCTTAAAACAAAAAGCTATTCCAAAACTACAGTGGGGACAAACAAAAGTATGGGGTGTCTTATCTTGCCGAACAGTCACACATAAATGCAGAAAACTTTCCATAGGAACAAACACTGATAGTACCGATTTTAACGGTTCTACATACGCCGCCATTGAACTTAATATTCACCCAACGGCGAAATAATGCAATGCTGTGCCACCTTCTGGATGAATATTTCCACGTTGTGTATATTGATATGATTTAAAAGTTATAGGGAAAAAAAATATCAGCCAAAAAAATGATGGATTTGTATTCACCGAACGTTTTCTCCTACACTTCCAACCTAACCGACTGTATTTCAACTATTTTTTTCTTTTCGGTCACTTTTCTCGCACTACAGCCGGTCTGCGGTTAGTTAGGCGATTATAACTGGATGTGCCAAAATGGTGAAAACCACGCCGCAGAATTTCATCGCACTTCATGCGTGTTTGGAGTTCAAAAGGATACATAATTTAAATTTGTTATATTTTTTCATTTGTTTTGGAAATCTACGGAGGGAAATTGAGTTACGACAACTATAAAAATTCTTTGAACAACCTTATAGTACTGATACAGTTTCAAAATACAAAAATAAAAATGCAATTTAATAACCAAACAAAATAAAATAAATATATTCGCGTTTGAAAAAGTATTTCAAATAAAATTACTCTATATTTAAATTACTGTAAAATTTGATAAAACAATATTCAAAAGTATAATTACAAAAGCTTTTTAAGTTTAAAATATGATTATTACAGTAAATAATATCAATAGTAAATTTATAATATGCTAAATAAAATAATACTAATACATGCATTGTAAATATTAGTTATATTTATTTAAACAACATTTTTTAAACAAATAAAGTTAAATTACCATAACTTGCAAGATTTATAAAACGAAATTGTGCTTTTCCAGAACAGACCTTCATCGTTTATTTAACTCAATAATTTCTATAAACATGTACATTTAAAATCAATTAAATTCTACTTTACTTATATATTAAATGATTAATCTTTGCAGAACACATTAAAATTATAACGTTAAAAAACAAGTGTATTAATCATTTAATTAAATAACAAATCGCATTTGAGCTTTATTGAATAACATACGTTATGGCAATTTCTTGGCAGCGACATAAAATATATTATATATACATCTATAAATCCATATCAAAAGTATGAGATATAAGCAACAATTTAATGGAAGAAAAGTAAATATATCATACTTTTCAAAAATTGATATTAGAATCAACCAAACGAACAGCCATCTTACACTTAATTAATATATTTTATTAATATGACGTAAGTTATTTATCAGAATAAATGACAAGCGAGTATAACACTAAGTCATTTCTCTAGGGCATCAGCTGTTATAAAGAGAACATACCACGAGATGTCATTTTCATGAGGATTCCAGTGAATATGTTTGATTTATTTTGAATACTTAAAATGATTCACGGGTTAATTATTATAAGTGTATTAAAGCACGTCAAAAATTTGATCGGATTATACGCATAAGTAGATATTACGTATTATAGAAAATGAAATATGATATTCGAATATCAGTATTTTTTATTTATAGATATTAATAGGTATTGTAATAATGAGATTTTACCAAAAAAAAAAAATAATATATTTTGTTTTTAAATAAAAACATTCAAACACAATTAAAAAGTCGATGACATAATTTTTGATATACATACCTGCTTCATAAATTAAAAAAAAACATTAAGTATACTCTTAGATTATTAAATATAATTAAATAATATCAGTAAATTTTCTTTCACTATGACAAAATCTTTTCAAGCAAACTATAATTAATAGTCCTTTAATTATGTTCTAATTCCCAGAATACGCAGGTATAATTTTAACTTACAATTTATAAAGAGCGATTTGGCTGTTGTGGGGAGAGACTGCTAACTAAACTTCAACAGCTCCGCACCGGGCCTAGGGGTACGGTCAATTTACGAATTATGGTGAAGAACTTACAATTTCTTACAATTAAACGACCATAACTTACAATTAACTTGCATAAATTTATATAGGTAACTTTTCCTATGATAGGGGGAGAGAAACTATTCATTTTTGACAAGATTAAATGTAGATTTAATGTGTGACTAAAGCGTTCAAATAACACATATTTAAAACAAAGGCATTTTTATGATACACCATTAGCGAAAACATCTACTTTAGATTCTATAGTGATGTGGTGCATAAATTATTAACTCTTGCTGTTGCAGTAAATAAATTATTATCCGAGATGAGGAGTGGTTTAAATTAATTTAATTTCGTTCGCATAGACAAATAGACGTAGCTCGCATACACGCCTAAATAGAGCGCAGTGGTTTAGCAGTGCGCCTCTTTTGTACGTTAACCCAATTTCCAAAATCAAGTAACTCTGCGATGGTACTTATACCTACGACCCGTCGACCATTATGTTTGGTACACAGTGCCGATCCCCGCGAGCGCCAAACGCGTAACTTGTTTCGCAAATACTCGTATCAACACGTATTATCTATATACATGTATGCGCGTACCCGGCATCATCCCGAGCACGCTTGTTACAGAGTGTTACGAGTTTATTCAATAGACATAGACCATCGCGGTCGTCCCACCGGGTCACATGGAAGTTTTACACGCATGCACGGGATAAAGCACAAGAGAATAGAATTTGAGAATGCAAAACTCGGTGGATGCGTTGCGTGAATTCGACGGGAAAATTTTAATGAATATGTATGAGCGAGTTGACCACGTCGCGATGTTCCCCCGGGAACTTGTGTATATATAAAGAAGTGTAACGTAAGCCCCGTAGTCGTATAAAAACTTTACACAATCAACAAAAGTAATCTCGACCTCTGGCCAACAACATACAATATATTGGTTGAAATCGGAGGGGTTAAAGGTTTAACCCCGCAAATGTCTTCCGAGCACCCCTTAAAAATAATTTTAATATTTTCCTTTTCGAATACCTATATAGTTTATAGAAAAAGCACTTGGAATATTTTCACAGTAAAAGTAGTAAATATTTTGACTGGATGAAAAAAAATTCTCATTTTTCATAAGCTGCATATGAACCACACTATTTTATTTTTAAAATAAAATATACATAAACAAAATGTAGAAAATAGCTTTGAATTTCCTTCGTAAAACTATTACAATATATAGTCAATTAAAATAAATGATACCCATTAAACAACAATTTTCATAAAATGATTCCGTTATTTTTTTATTCGTTCTATTTAAATATTTCAATTAATTTTAAACCTTCATATATTTTTGTAGTTACATTTTTTTTATTACTGTACACAAAATAAATACTAGTTTTAAGATACTTTGCAGCTACATACATACCTAATCTTAGTTGAAAAT